TAAAGGTCTTTTCCAACCTAGATGATTCTATGATTCTACCTGGCTAGTCTGACCCTCAGTTTTTATCTTTAGCCTAACTTTGCTGGCAAAACAAAGAATAAGCTTTCTCCTGCCAGCCTGTGTCAAATTCTAGTAGGAATTCCATGTGTAATGTCTGTATTCCTTCTCTAGTCAGTTACTGCAAGATACTGTCAACCAAACATCTCTGAAGTGGTATTGCAGGTTCAGTGATTTGCCCTGAAGGTTAAATACTCCAAGCAAGGAGTTGGGGGTCTCTTAAGCCGCATGAAATATGTCTAGAAGAAGCTCTTGAACTGTTGCTTTATTAGTCAGTTTGAGTAATGTTGCATGTATGACTTCTTGTTTAATAACAGGACCCCCAGATTGCAGACATCTTGGCAACAGCTGGAAATGTAGTGACCATTACCATCATGCCTTCCAGTATTTATGAATATATAATAAAGAGGTAGGTAATAAACAAAGCAGTCATGGTGTTAATTATAAGCAAGTCGACAGTGACTGTTTTATATAGGTTAAGTAAAATGTACTCATGATAAGACCTGATTACAAACTTGACATGAAGGCTGGAGAATGGCTGGGGGGACTCTGAAAATTTGCTTAATCTTATGTTTTAGTCAAACTGGCACATTTTGGTTCTGTTTTTTAAACTACTCATATGTTAGTGATGCTCGTTTGCCTTTTCTTCTCTTGAACACCCTTTTCTAAACGTACCTGAACTAAACTTGAGTTTCCCAGAACTTTGAAATACATGGATAACACAAATATTTGTTACCTTGTAACTAAAATGTTACTAATTCTGGTGACATAAACATGACTCTTGGCAAGATACAGTTGTGTTTTTCTAATTCTTTGGCAGCAGCGGCTTTCTAAAGCTAAATCTCTTGTGCAAAAATACGTTTTTGAAGTTCCTAGAAATTAATAATGCTTTGGGTATAATTGAGTCTGCCCCCCGCCCCTGCCTTCCACTTGGTGTGCTCGTTCTACAAAACAGTTTTCAGTCTAACAGCCACCTTTCCCCCTGCCCTCCTTCCCTCATACTTGTGATACTACTCTGCTTGCACGCATGCCCACATCCTGAAAGATGTTGGTAACACAGCTCAGTTACTAACAAAAATGTTGAGTATCATGGTCTTCTCTTCTGTGTGTGCTGTTTGGTGCAGCTTTCCATAGCAACATATTTGTTGTCAAAAATAGTGGAGTAAAAGGCCAACTTTTAAATTGTATTAAAGGGCTAGCAATGACAAAGATACAGTGATCAGGAGCTTTAGTGGTCTTCTACAGTTGTCTTACAAAACTGAATGCCTTTTCCTTTTCTTTAGGATGGCACCTAGCATTATGAAAAGCCTGATGGATCACTCTGTTCCTGAAGTCTAAACGTGCATCATGTATGTGTGTGTACATATATATAATGATGATTCCACTAAACTTGGGCTATTATACTCAGTGATCTCTTTCTTCTGCACATGAGCCTTTCTGGAGGCTAAAAGAAGATATGCTGCATCGAGCATTTGCATCTATAATGGCTGGGAATGTTACAGTTCAACATATCTCGTTTATTCACAAACTGTAAAACTTGTAGCCTTATATGCTTGACAAATGTGAAATTCCAATTGTGTTATGACTCCTTTTCGTAGGTCTTTTACTTAGTTCACTACTACTATAAGCCATTGCAACTAAAGGAACCAGATATCACTTGCAAAGTTACGTGTTGTTACCTAGAACAATGCTGTGCTTTGTATGTTTAAGACAAATGAGTATTTTTACTGCTTTCTGTTTGCAAGAGTAGATTTGAAATAGCATATTAGAAGTATGGCTAGTACTAGTTAATGTTTTTGTTCTAGTAAATACTGTTTACACAAGAATGCCAGCTAAGCTGAATATAGCTAGAGGCATCATTCAGTAAGTAAGCATATTAAATCAAAGTAGTGTACAGATACTCAAATCTTTTTATTACTTGTTATACAAATTGCAACTAATATGCTTATCTTTCGCCTTAACCATGTTCTTAAAGATTCAGAAATAACCAAATAAATGACTGAAACTTTAGATACTCTGTGTGTGTGCATCTCTCTTAAGATGAGCTAAGACAGGCTTGTTTCAACCAACAACAAAGACAAGGTAGGAAATACAGTTTAAATAGCTTTCTAAATAAGCTCACTGCCTACGATGTTGAAATGTTTTAAAAGGGTAGAGCTGGGATACTTTAGACAAGATATGCTTAACTCATACCTTCAGCTTAACATGTGGGATAGCAACCTAGCTGTTCTACAGGATGTACTACTAACTGTATAGTGGCAATCTCATTTTCAAAACTGTTTGCAGCTTGCTGGGTATAGTGGGTGTGGCTGGGATGGCATTAACTTACTTCATAGCAGCTGGTACGGTGCTGTGTTTGACATGTGTTTCTAAAACCGTGCTAGTAACACGCCAGTGTGTTTGCTGTTGCTGAGCAGTGCTTGCACAGTGTCAAGGACTCTTCTGCTTCTCACTCTGTCCCCTGCCCCCAGGGAGTAGGCTGGGGGTGGCCAGGAGGCTGAGAGGGGACACAGCTGGGACTGCTGGCCAAAACTGACCAAAGAAAAGTTCCATGCCATTTGACATTGTGCTCAGCAATAAATTGGGGGAAGACTCTCCAAAGTAGCTGTTGCTTGGAAACTGGCTGAGCGTCAGTCTGCTGGAGGGAGGTGGTGAGTGATTACCTTTGCAACACTCTTTTTCCTCTTTTTTTTTTTTCTTTTCCTCCTTCCTCTTCTCTTAGTAAACTGTCTTTTATCTCAATCCACAAATTTTACTAGCTTCTGCGCTTCTGATCCTCTTACCCATTCTGCTGTGGGGCAGATGAGTGAGAAATTCAGTGGGGGCTCAGCCCAACAGACTAGGACACAGGTATGTTCAACTGAGACTTTAAGAAGTGAAGTGATCTGAAGTTAAATACCAGTTTTGGCAAAGTGATTTGCTTTTTAATTTTTTTTATCCTCTGTTCCAGGTTTCAACTGTGCAATCTAGGATTACTTAACTTCAGAGTACTGTTAAGTTTAGCAGTGTAAGCTCAGCTGAGTCCGTCTTGTAGCTTCCTGCTTCTCAAATGAATTTCTCAGTTATGGTAACTGAGGGAAAACCATTACATTCCTTCAGGCTGTAGTGGTGATCAAATTCATCCTGGGAACCATTTTAATTGGATTGTCTGGTTACTAAATGATATGTCTCTGGAACCACTGTGGCAAGCATTTACTGGCAGTAATTGGTGACTTCGCGTAGCATTGGTATGATTCAGCCTTATGGGCATAGGACCTGTAGCAGTCATCTCTAAGTTCCTTGGCAAGCTAGTTTGCTTAGCTATGAAATCCCTGGAGAACAAAACAATCTATTACTGAAATGCTGATCTCTGCATCTAACCAGTTTTTACATAGGAGCAGATGATTTAGCAGGGGCTAGTGGAGATCCATTGGAAATGAGAAGCATAGAACTTCAGTATGAGTAGCGTTTTCTTTCCAGCTGTAGCATGTAGCAACCAGAAGTGATCAAAAAAACCTCCTGTTTTCATGCAGAAACTAGATTGGATTGAAGAGTATGTATGAAGATAAACTTTGAGTTAAGCTGCAAGAAAATATTGGTCTGTAAGTAGTTCCTTGCATACATCTGATTAAAAAAAACTCCTAACATACTGATATAACCTAGTAACAGGGTTAACCCCCCCCCCCACCACCACCCCCCCCACACCCCACCCCCCCCCAAAAAAAAAAGAAAAAGCAAACCACAAACTAAGGCTGCTTTAGGCAATTAAACAGCTGGCTGAGGGCTCTGTTCTATGAGCATGTTTTACAGTAGAAAGCAAACCTCAGATGCACTTAAAAGCTATGCATCATCTGCATCCATATTTAACCAAAAGAAAGTTAAGGGTATTTTCTCTATGAGGTTGCTTAAGTCAAAATTCAAGGGGTCACAAACTTCAGGGGCCTTTTCCTCCGGTTTACAGCAGTAGGGGGGCCCCCTAGTGACAAAGGAGCACAGCTGTTTCCAGAATTTGGGCAAGAACATCAAGAAAACAGGTGTGAAAGTGTAGTTTACTATTCCTCTGTGATTTTCAAGCACAGCAGAGTATAACTTGAGTTGCAAAATTGCACAATAGCAGGAACAGAATACAAAAGATAGGATGTGCTAAAATGTAAAAGAACTTCCAGCACAACCTTTAAACTCAGGCTAGTATTGTAATGCAGAAAACCTAAGCCTTCTGGGCCAGGGACAAAGTACAATAGGGTGGAGGTAAACAAGCAATGATAGCCATGCTTAAAACAACACATAGGTGATTTCTGGATTGTGTGACATTTCCAGGCAAGTGTAGAAGGTGGGTTTCTATGTCATCTTTGCCTACACACAGATATATTTGGGAAATAAATATAATGAAAGGTGAAGAAACAGGGCAGACACCAAACATGGTGCTACAAGATTAAGACTGGTAACAGCAGGCATGCATGATATGGCTTAATCTTGTGCCTTCATCACACACACTCACTGAGTACACAGAAGTTCAGTTATTTGCTAAGCCAAGTGAGTCATGCAGCTGAAATATCAGTTTACTTCAACATCATGCCATTACCTTACTGAAAAGTAAGTTCAAACTCCAGCATAATAAAAGGGAATGAAAAAACAGCCCCTAACCATAACATGATTGTTCTACAATGCTAAAGAAACAGCTATGTCCTGAAATAGGTGTTAGGTGTCAAACCTAAGGCACAATGTCTACAGACAAAGGCCTGACTGAACAAAGGACTTGTCCAGCTTGTCCTGGACACATTCACAGGGCATCTTAATACCAGCACTAGAGAATACCATCAGAGAAAAAAAACTAGTGATCTTGGGTCACACTGGGGCAACATCACAAGTGCAGATGTTTCTTGCTGTAATAAGCCATTTAAAGACTATTTCAAGTCTTTAACTGCAGAACAGCTCCCTGCAGGAAACCAAGTCCTACAGAGAAAGTAAGCCTAGTGCAACACTGCTTTGTCACTGGGTTAAGACAACAAGGGACTGGATAAACCCAGGAGCTGTAGCTCTGTTTAAGTGCTGTATTTAAATTCCATCTCAAAGACAATTTGCCTTGAAAGAGGTTGAGAACACCAAACAAAATATGAAGATGCTGAAGGTCATTACAAGAGGGATAAGTAAGAGAAGTGATGAAAGGCAGTAGTAATAGAGCATAAGACTAACTTCAGGCACATTATTAGGGGAAGATTTATATCAACATATTACATGTATGCATACCTGTTCTCTGTTAGGGGATTGTTTTATGCTTGGCTTCCTTTCAGGCTAATACATTAGTGCTATTTTTCAATAGGACAAAACCAATATAAAGTGTGCTCTTTTTCTTCTCTGTGCCTTTGCAAATAGCCACAGCTGGAGACTAGATTGTAGAATAGACTGACCACTGCTCAGAACAACAGCTGCCTTAGTATTCAAAGTAGTATTTACCATCATATGCATCCTCACTAGGAAGAAAGGTTGACCATACAAGGGGTACATATGTTATGTCATGAGACATGGCGCTAAGTTGCAAGCATCCTTAAAGACTTCTTAAGAATGCAAATGCTGTTGCTTTGAAACCAGTTTGAACAGCAAGCTCTGATGCATTCTATGCAAATCAAACAATGACTGCAAGTTAAGAGCTCTTTAATTACAGAAAAATAGGTCTTTAATTTCATCTCAGATATCATTTTAGACAAGCATTTTCAGTATGATAGTCCATGAAAAACAAATGCATACACTATGGAAATTAAGAGCTCTTAGTGAAGTCACCATATCATTGAAAGTTGTAGTTGAACAAAGCTTCCTATCTGGTTGAACTTCAGCAGCCATCATTGCACACAGTTTAAGTTCCTTTAAAAGGTCCGGTTTAAAATAAGAGTTCATTTAAATATCTGGAGGGAAAGGCACTTAGTATTGCAGCTTCCAGAATATGATTTGTTTGTCTTCCCCTCCTGTAATAACACTGTTGCACTGTTCATTCATCCACATGGACGTTACAGCACCTGGGGAAAAAAAAAAAACCCCAAACAAGTAAATCCAAATGCAAATACAAGTGGTACTCAAGACGATGGAACAGATCTTTTTAAGAGAGTTTAGGATAATCTGATCATTAAGTTTGGACTACACTGACACCACATATGCCAAGAATTTTAGTAGGCTTCAAGGTGTCTACTCTTATTCACAGTAATGATCTCATGCTACGTTGCCTCAGCTGACTTTGCGTACTAGAGGGACAATGTCAGTTGCAGTGTAGAATGCAGATGGCACACTGGCTGAAGATTCATGGGGATAAGATGAGAAGGTGTCTCTAGAAAGTGAGATTTTTCACTCTGCCATTTGGACTTCTCATTAAAAGTGCATTAACATTTAGCTTATGCCTGGAAGCCCACTTCTAAAGATTTCTCTAGCTACAGAATGATCTCTGTACAGGCCAAGTTCCATAGTACAAGCTTATAGTAGGTAAGTTTGAAATACCTGTTCATGAAGGCAGCCTTAAAAGCCAGCTGAATAAACCTGAGATAGCAACCAAAATGTGTGAAGGAGAAAAACTAATGTACTGAAGGCTATGCAGATACATATAAGCAGCCTATAAATCCCCATCCAAACAGCTTCTCTAGTGTCCTTTACTTAATTTGTTGTTAGACTCACAGTCTGGACAGACTTGAGCAAAGTCTACAAGGCAGTCTATACTATACTTCATTAGGACTGTGAGGGAGAAAAATGCTGACTTTTGTGATGTTGTGTGAATTAGAAAAATCCCAAGTCATTTACCTTTGGTCAGTCTTGTAAACAGCAATATTTCTCCATTGTTATTAAATTTCCTAGGAGGCTCATGTGGACCTACTTTTAGTTCTGGTGTTCCAGATAACACTAACATCAAGAACAGCCCACTGACTGAGCAGATGACTCCCAAACTTTTCAATGCTAACAGAGCTGGAAAATAGGAATCTTCCATTCAATTTGAGAATCATAATAGTTCAGGCATACCTGTATGTCCTTTGATTCTTTCAGTAACTTTTCCTCCAAGAAGGTCCCAAATGAGTAATTCACCAGACTGACTTCCTGATAAGATGGTATTTCCATCCCATCTGAAGCACCTGCAAGTAAGGCTCAAATCAGTTCACTTCCAGCTTTTGTATAATGAAAACCAAACATTTCCAAACTGACTAAGCCAAAAAGAATTGAAAATGGATGTACAAAACTGAAGGAAACTCTACCCTTTAACACAGTCTTTCTGGGATGGTTATTCCCAAATTATTTGAAAGGGTCATGACCCAAACTTGCTTCTCTGACTGCCGTAGACCCAGTCAGACCTTCCCCTGGCAGAAGGATGAAGCATATTCCTATAACAGAAGAGGACCCAGTCAGCTGTACACGTGTATGGTACCCAAGTGCTCTTGTGAGCTATCACTTTCAATTCTGTCACTGTTCCTGAAACAACCACTTGAAGTGCAAAGAGGACTTTCAGGGAAATAACTGAATAAAAATATATATATACAGACATGCATATACTTATATATTTATGTATACATACACACGCAAGAAACCAACACGTGCATTCCATGTATGGCTGCTATATTTTTACTCTAGTAACTGAGTGAGCATTCCATCTGTTTACCTGATAAACCATAAAGAACTGTATGCATTTTGGTTTGTTAAAAAAAAAGTTATCACTTCAATTATAATAGCCAATCCTTTCTTAGATTATCGAAACAAAAAGGAAGCATTGCAATTAAAAAAAATAAAAAATCATCAAGATTATTGGCAGAGGTGATTCAAGTAAGAAAACTGTCTCCTTGTTCGAAATTTCAGTAGCTCAGCTGCTGGAAGAGCTGGTTACCTACAGCTCCCATCATCTTTTATGGACGTTAAAGTTGTTGAAAAAAAAAAGACACATGCATTATTTACTTAGATGCTTGTTTGGTTTTGTCCCTTTGGAAAGCTTGATCATAATGCACACAACATGCTAGAATGTCAGCCTTTGCACTTTAAAAAAGTAATTCAGTAAAACAAAGTTGCTGGTATTACTGCCCTTCCCATTCTGCTATCGCCAACCATCAAGCATCTCCACAGTTAACACTTGGCCACGCTTCATCATCTGTATGTTCTCAGAATTACCTCTGTGGCTCATCAGCCATTACAGAAGATATAAGCATTCCGGTTTGTACATCTATTACTTTAAAACAACAGTCCTCTCCTGTGCTGAGTAGATGTCTGCTGTCTGTACAAAAGAAAAAAGCAAACAAAAGAAACAACAACAGAAAAGCATGTTTAGACATTCAGTTCTAGCAGTCAAAGCAGTCTGTGATACAGCAGGCTGGATGTGACATTGCCTGATATACTTATTTCTAGATAATTTACTGTACATTAAGTCTCTAAGCAAGCAATGATAAAGAAAATTGGTTTAGAGTCTAGACCACTGGTCTACAGTCTAGTATAGCCTTGTGTACAATTAATACATTCTTTATAATGGAGATGCATATCAATCCAAAGCATCTCACCATCCCACTTAAGTAGTAATTCCAGTAACAAGGGTCTATTACATGATATCAGGAGTAAGATTCCCTTTGAAACACCCAAGAGTGCATATAAAAAACTGAAATCCAACATACCAGGACTAAAAGCAGCATCAAACACAGTCCCAGAATGACACGGCAACTGGTGCAACACTGTTGCTGTAGTAACATCCCAAACACTAATGGTACCCTCTTTGGTTCCAGATGCTAGTATAGTATTTGCAGCATTAAGGTCGATTGTATTCACCTAGGAAGTTAAACATCCCATGATTTGCCTATTCTTTCATGTAAGCCCATCTTGAGACAGGTTTTAAACATACACAAAGCAAGCCCATGATCTGTAAAATGATATTTTATTTACAAAAAGTTTTTACATCTAATTCTGCAACATCCTTAATTAAGTACAATTATTAAAAATCCTGCCTGTAAAAAGTAAAAGATAGGTCCCTTTGATGATATTTTAAAATGCTTTTTCCTTGCAGAATCAGAAGTGTAAACTGATGTTTCAGACTACTTTTAGTACCCATACTCTCCATCTAAATGCAAGACTTCATCCTTAATGGTAAATTTTTTCTTTAGTTTAAAGAACTTCCTAGCCCTGAGTTGTTTCCAGTTCTCTTGGGTACAGCTCTTAAATTATCAGAACTGTTTCAGTATTTGCCTATGTTGTGACCTGTTAAAAAACTAACTCTTAAGAAGGTTTAAGACAGAGTAATTCTAAATATTCTACTAGAGTGACATTAGAGGCTATAAATAAAACTGTGCAGTTACACATTTATGATTCACTGCACACAATGTGTTTATATATTTACAGTGAAATTCATTAATGTATTTTATAGCATGGTAGACAAGTCAGAAGAATTCTTTTTCATTTTCTTGCCTTTGGCAAAGATACGTTAAGAAGAAGCTGTAACAATGAAAATACTGGAAAAACATTAGTCTGTTTTCAAAAAACAAAGCAGCAAAAAAAAAAAAACCCAGTCCTCCCTGTCCCCCTGGAACTCTATGCATACAGCTGAGCAAGACAAATTAAGAAACCCCTGTTATACTGTTGCTTCAGTCCCTAGGAGTGGACCTTTCAACCAGGGAAGCGGGGGACACTGGTGCAGGACACATCAGACAAAAAACCAAAACCAAACCAAAAAAACCCTGCACACACACACACTTCCCAAAACAACACAGCCCCTCAGTCTTTTAACCCAATCCTTGTGCTTTACCACTAGATCTTGACTTTGATTTTAATGAGCAATTAATTTTCATAGTCTGAGATACTATATTTCCATCCACATACTTACACTAACATCGTGTTCTAACTCCGCAAGCAATTCAAAGTGGTGTTTTTTATTGCTCAAGGTCTCTCCAGGAACACAGTGCCACACCTGCAACACAGATATGTAGGTTTGCACAAGGAAGCATTAGTGTAACTCTGGATGAGTTTCCTCAGTACTGAATTCTCACATTACAAGGAGGACTGCTTGTGTTAACTGGGCCTGGCCTACGTGGCAGACAACAGCAACAACAAATGGCACCTGAACTCGTTTACCCTAGGGAGGGCCATATATTAAACAGAAGCCTGCCTAAGCACAGGTATATCACTGCTCTGAATGTATACTTACCAAAAAGCCATACACAGAAGGCTTTGGGAAATTCTTTCCTGTCTCTAACTTCCAAATTATCTTTCCACCTAACTGTAGGCATGCTTTTTAGATTAGCAAGTTCCAGGTCCACTTAGCTGAAGAACATAATCTACAAAACTATTAAACGTTTTAGAAGCCTATTCAACTCAAACAGAATCACCAGCCATCGTCACAAAACATTCCCGTTCCTCCAACAAACACAGCGTGCCTCCAAAACCCCCACATTTAGAGTAAGATAGAATGAATGAAATTTCTTTAAAGTAACACTTTAGCTTTGAAACAGAGTTGAGATAAAGCTAAATGAAGAAGATATTCTAGAAATAAACTTACTGTGATACTAGCTAAGTTATTATTCTAGTACAATAGGGACATCCACTCCAAATCATTTGGCTGGCTGAAATTACAAAATGCTAGCCATAGCTAGTTATTGAAGTGTAACAAACCCATATACAGACCTTCACAGTGGAATCCCAAGATGCAGAATATAAACGCCCGTCACGCCAACAGATCTTACTGACTGCATCATCGTGTCCCATTAAGATATCTTGCTGTCTTCCAAATGCAATTGAATAAAAATATCTAACAGAAAAAGGTTATAAAAGCATTACATCTTTGGAAAACTCAAAAGTTTTTTTTCTAAATAGATGAAAGTAACTTTGCTTCTACAGTTTCTAACAGAAATCTACTGAAAAAAAAAAGTAGAAATACAGACACTGTGTTTTAACAATCAATTTCTGTATCATTATCTAAAACCATAAACATAATGACCAGGGCACTCAATGTAATTCAATAAAGTCAATAAGAAGTAAATACACACATATGATTGTCCCATGAAGAACTTATGACAGTGGTATCTCCTGGTAAGATTATACAAGATGACAAAGCCTGTAAGAAGAAAAAAAAAAAAAAAGGTAGTATTCAATTTCTTATCCCAAATCAAACAGAAGTACACTAACATACTTTTGGAAAACAAGAAGCATTTTCATCTTCTATACACACAACATACAGGTGTTACATGACACTAATCAAGAAAAACCTTAGAGGCTGGACACTGAACAGCAAGACTACTTAATCCCTGGTAAATACAAAGGTAGCACTGAAGTTCAGAAATACATGCAGAACTGATGGGTCTCCTTTTTCAAAATGCTGGTATTTCAAGGACATGGTATACAATTCCTCACTTAAGAGAAACTGGGTCAGCTCTTCATCTTGTAAGCTACTGTCAGTTCTGGATGCAAGCAGCTAACAGAAACTGAAAATGAAGGTTTCCTTTGATGTTTGTTCTCCATGACAGCTACTTATCAGCTCAGCTCTTTCAAACAAACCTAACTATCTAATTCTTACTATTCTCAATAAGAAACATGCTTTATAGACAGCTGCTCAGTTACGTTACCATCACTGGAAGCAGCAAGTTAAAAAAAAAAATCTGCTTCTACTAGTATCCTTACTGGTCATGTTTTAGATCTGTTCTAAAAACCAGTAAGCTGCTGGACTGTAAAAAGACTACTGCTTCTAGCACTGCTGCAACAGGTCAGCACTAAAACTACATAGAGGGGAAGAATAAAAAAGAGCATACAAGGCCTCCTCATGAAAAACTGACTTCCGGCTTAGGATTTAGCAAAGAGCTCCCTTTTTACAGTACCAAGAAGCGACATTCCCAAGTTTGCCTTGGCTAAAGCATTAGGAATTGCTGTATCTAGATTCACCTGGTAGTGTCTGCCATGGCAGGCCATAGGGCCTTGATCCCGCAACTTACTTGGGCACCTGTTAGAGCATGCTATGGCTTCTGTCTGGGCAACCCATTTCCCTTTTTTGTTCCCTCTAGAGATGAGGGTACAGATATATCCTAATGTCTTGCCTCAATAAAGGACTCTTAACCACAACGGTTGGGAGTGAATCTCTATGACCCAGGTCTGGCCACAGTGCTCAAGCACAGAAAAATCAAATATAGAATCTCTTCCCAAGTTCTGGTTTAGAAGCAGGGGAAAAATGTTCAGGTTACTGAGATCACCACTCATTGAGGAAAGATGGCTCAAATTCACCCAGCATAGATTCCACTCCCTGTGCTTGGTTTTTGTCTACTGGCTGACTCACAGCATTCAAACACTTGGAACCAGTAAGGCAATGCTGGATGTGAGCACCTGGGCAGAACTTAAGCTTTGTGATTCTGATCCCAATGGCAGTGCAAAGTTGTTCAGGAAGACTCCTCTGCTCATGCCAGACTATCTTTATGTACCACAAGCCCTTCCCTGGACAGCAGGGCAACTCAGAGCTAGCACAGAAGTGCAGTGCAACCATTGAGCGCTCCCTTCCCGTGTTTGCAGAATGCACTCTGTCTCCCCAGAGGCCTGACAAGAGAGTCTGAATTCACTCCACTAAATTATTCACACACAATACAATTGAGTAGGCTGTTGAAGAAAAGAGACATTGATGTATGCTAACAACCATTTCTGTGAGTAGCTTTCCGAAGATTCCCAATGACCTCGTTTTTATTTTGACAGCAACTTACCATGTTTGAAAAGGACACACTTCTCTGGATTGTTTTTGATTCTTTGGAAAACATCTTCAAAGTTGAATCTGGGGATAATGGACAAAATAGAAGATAAAAGGACTGTTTTATATTATAGAAGCTAGTAATTTTGCTCATGTTTGAATATTCAAATATCTTACTATGAAAAAGAGGTATACGTTTGTCTTAATCTTTGAGAAACTCTTTATAGAGCTTGTGACTTGAGCCTGGAAATAGCCCGTTTTGCACCACTTACAGATGGACTCCCCCGTGCCTATCAAACTTTAAGAGAGGTCTGGTATCTAAAGGGAGAAGTCACCTCCTTCCCAAGCCTAGATATGGATAATATTGAAATCCTTGAGTCAAACTGATCTAAAACTTAACAAATTCATGTACTTCAGCTATTTAATTACAGGAAATACATATTTAACTTAATTTCTATAATAGGTGACTTGCAAAGGTGACAATCCAAAAACCAAACAGAAGCAGCCTTTACATACGAATACTGAAATTCTCTCAAACAGTAAGAAGGAACTGAGCATGAAGTGAAAACAAGAATCTTGCATTTAGCAGAAGATTAGAGCCACTCCTTTCATGACTGTAAAAAAACCCCCAGAACTCAATGATTCCAGAAATATCCTATTTAGCATTGTCTTCGTGTTGTTCCCAGTGAAGATAGTAACGGGATTCAATCTTAACTACATTTCAGAGTTTCATGCTATTTTGTTCACAAAACATTAACCTGCATTTACACTGCAGGTTCTAGTAAATACCTCTGCAATAATACTTACCCTGGGATGTAGTGAAAACAGAAGACCCATTGCAAGTGACTGCTATTCCAGTAATTGCCCTGTTTAATACAAGTAAGCTGATAGGTGATTTCATAGGTTTTGAAACTTAACCACCATACTGTAAATTGACTAGAGTTGAAAATTGTTATTTGATCTCTGTAAGAACTAAGACATTCAAGAAGATTAAAAGCAGTACAGTGGTGTGTTATATGCCTAGAGAGAAAAATATAACTTGATATAATATGTGAAACACCAGTACAGGTTCCCCATATTGTTCTGCAAGAACTTCATCCTCATCAGAAAGGACATGCCCATGCAAGAGGATAAATAGTTTCACATTCAGTCTTTCCAATTTGGGATTAGCTACAAAAAGAGTCAGGAACCTGCCTACAAGCAGATACTGAATACCTCAAGTGTCAGGAATCAGAACTTGCATGTCTTTTCTCCTCAAATTTGACACTGGCAAAGTCGCTATAGTCTAGAAATTTAGACATACAGCTTATGTCAGGGAGTTTGTTGTTAGGAAGCACAGAGCATTCTGCATAGCCAAAATTCTGTTATACAGACCTGCTTCTTTTTTTTCAGCAGTCTTTGGGGTGGGGGTAGGGGGGTGGAGTTGGAAAATCAGAAGCTGAAAGTCAAGTCTGTTTTCAGGATCAGGATTTCCCTAACCTTAACCTGGTAACAGAGGCCCTTTCTCACTACAAATATTACCTTGTTTTCTGGACAAGAGAATGTCTCTTTTCTAGACTGGGTTACAAGAAAGTAGTTGAACTCAAGGTAGTAAGAAATCCTCCTACTAGTCCAGCCACTAGGACAAGGGATGGGGCTAAAGGAAAATCTGTTCTTTAAAACATAGCTGCTGTCATCATTGTTAGGTATTTTCAAAGTTCACCTAAGTGCCCCTGCTGACTCATGGCTCCCTAAGAATCCATCAGAACAGTAGTTTGGTACCTGCATTAACTGAAAACCTATAGCTGAGACATGGCAAATTGCTCATACAGCAGCAGCTCAAGGTGTACAGTAGTTGAACTTAATGGTTTAACCTTTAATCAAATGGGATGAAAAAAAAGTTAGGTCCTCCTGGGGTTATGAATAAATAAATAAATGGAAGTCTTTATCTGGCTGCTGCTATGACAGTTTTAGAGAATGGGAATCAATATCTGCTTCAGATACTAAAATGATAATGAACTTAGCTCTACATCCATATAAGGGACAAAAAAAAAAAAAATCAAGCTGACAAATACCTTTTCTGGATTCATAACCCATCATATAACTCAAACTCATCTTATGTAATCAAATCAATGAGCTGTTTCACAAAGGAAAATATTTACCTTAAACTGCAACCCACCATTCAGACTGAAACACAGATATTCCTCCCCTTCCCCCCACACAAAATTAAATGGAACAATTTTGACTGTGAAAAGAATAGTACCTACTCTTTGTGAATTTTATATTGGTCATCTAATTTTAGTTTGGCAATATTGTTCCAAGCAAGTCTTATAGTTTCTTCTGTCAAATCTTCAAATGATTCTTCATTTGGAGAAACTACAATAAAATGCCACAATAGAGTTTCATCACAGATAGAAGATAAAAAGATAGATTTCAAACAACTAGGTAGCTGAAGTTGCAAACATAAATACGAGAGTACAGAAATCATGCAGACTTCCAGGAATAAGAATTTTTGGCTAATGTATAGAGTGACAAGATCACTAACTTTTTTACAAATCTCTTCCTGACTGCATAGGCTTACACAGTCAAAAATATGATTTTAGTCCCAGAACCATGGCTTTTAAACTGGAGACTATAGAACATGTTTCCAAAATGGAAAAAACCAAAACCAAAACCTTTTCTGTAGAGGTGTGTTGGTGTTCCATTGAGATGTCAAAGAGCTTTCCAAATGGAAAAGTACCAGGAAAGCCATCTACTGCTACAATACATCATGTGCTTTTATTACTCTATTGCATTCTGTTAGGAATGTCACAATGTCATTTCACTGCACTGTTGCAAAAGTTAAGGGATAAAAAAACACAACAAAATTGAGACAATTACATGTCAATTACTATAAAAACGCCAAACCCAACAGGAACTGTTAATCTGTGAGTTAATGACTTAGGTAGCATCCCACCATATTTATTTAACACATATGAACATTATTGTCACCATATACAACTTTCAAAGCCACTCTTGCCATTTGGATGCTACAGGTTGCCATGCTATGTAGCACTCATCTTCACTTTTCTGCTTAAAAATGAAAGCCATCAAAAGGTCAGTGAATTGAAGACAACCGAGACAAACCTTTCCATGTGATACCTAGGCTGAAGATTCAGTCCAGTTTACAGCAGACCACTATACACATGATGAAAACCATAGCATCTTAGTTTCAGAGAATGGTCTAAGTTCCTCATTCAGCAGAAGCCTGCTATGGCATTACATATCCTTTTCTCTTCAAGAAAGTTATTCAATCAACATTGTCCCTACATACTGTAGG